CGTCACTCCCAACACCGTCAGCTCTCACGGCGAGCTGCTTTTCAAGTATACCTCTCTGCCCTGGCGCCGGGCAATTGAATTGACTCTCGTTCATCTCCACTCTCCTACCCAGCAATGGCTGGAGCTGCCAACATGAGGCCGCTCCTCGCGGCCAGCCTATCTCGACAGCTGCAGCAACCAGCTCGTCGCGCATTCACCACCTCTCGACAGGCGCAATCTCTGCTGGCCCAGCGCCGCCGAGCAGCAGTGCAATCGAACCTCCTCAGACCATCTCAGCCGTTCCGCAGAGGATACGCTGATACTCCTAGCAATCCTGTCGACCCGGAGCTGAAGCAGCCGCCAAAGAAGTCCCGCTTCAGAATTTTGCGCTGGGCATGGCGACTCACCTATCTGAGCGCAATTGCTGGCATGGTCTACGTTGGAGTTGGTATCTACGAGGCGAAGCATCCTGACGATCAACCCGATCCTGATCCGAGCAAGAAGACACTCGTCATTCTTGGTATGACTCCAATGCGAGAGATCTTTTTCGAGCCCCTTGGCGCGGCATTCATGGATTCGATTGAAGGAGTGCTAACATATTCTGCACTTAGGAACCGGCTGGGGATCTGTCTCGCTGCTCAAGAAGCTCGATACCGAAAACTACAACGTCGTCGTCATCTCTCCACGCAACTACTTCCTGTTCACGCCTCTCCTGCCATCATGTACTACTGGTACCATCGAGCACCGCTCCATCATGGAGCCGGTGCGCAACTTCCTCCGCCACAAGAAAGCCGCCGTCAAGTTCTACGAAGCCGAAGCCACCAAGATTGACTACGAGAAGAGGGTTGTCTATATCAACGATGACTCAGAAATCAAGGGCGACATGTCCCAGACTGTGGTTCCATTCGATATGCTGGTTGTCGGTGTCGGTGCTGAGAATGCCACTTTCGGTGAGCATGGCTGTAATATTCTATGAGGAAGACAATTGAAGCTAATGGATTGATTACAGGCATTCCGGGCGTCCGCGAGCACGGTCTCTTCCTGAAGGAGGTTGGAGATGCTCAGGCTATCCGCAAGCGCATTATGGACTGCTGTGAAACTGCTACTTTCAAGGACCAGAGCCAGGACGAAATCAAGAGATTGCTGCACATGGTTGTCGTCGGTGGTGGCCCAACTGGTGTCGAATTCGCTGGTGAACTCCAGGACTTCTTCCAAGAGGACTTGAGGAAATGGATCCCGGATATTGCTGGAAACTTCCATGTCACTCTCGTCGAAGCTCTGCCTAACGTATGTCCATTTGGAACTTGAATCGTAAGCCCGCAGACTAACAGCTAGGTTCTAGGTCCTCCCTATGTTCTCTAAGAACCTCATCGAATACACCGAAAAGACCTTCAAAGAAGAAACCATCTCTATCCGCACCAAGACCATGGTCAAGAACGTCACGGACAAATACATCGAAGCCGAGTCTACCAAGCCCGACGGCAGCAAGGTGCTGGAGAAGATCCCTTACGGCCTGCTCGTCTGGGCAACCGGTAACGCTCTCCGCCCCGTCGTCAAGGACCTCATGATGCAGATCCCCGCACAGAAGGACTCGCGCCGCGGCCTTGCCGTCAACGAATACCTCGTCGTCAAGGGTACGGAGAACGTGTGGGCCGTCGGCGACTGCGCCATCGCCAACTACGCACCTACCGCACAAGTTGCCTCCCAGGAAGGTGCCTTCCTCGCGCGCCTGTTCAACCAGATGGCCAAGACGGAGGAGATCGAGACGCAGCTGCTCCACCTGAGCGACGAGCAGGGCAAGGTGCCCAATGGCGAGCCGCGCAACAAGATCTTCGCCGATATCAAGGAGCTGCAGAAGCGTCTGCGGCGCGTCAAGCAGATGGGCCCGTTCGAGTACAGCCATCAGGGCAGTCTGGCGTATATTGGCAGCGAGAAGGCCGTTGCGGATATTAGTTGGATGACGGGCAATCTGGCGTCGGGTGGACAGTTGACGTACTTGTTCTGGAGGAGCGCGTATCTGAGCATGTGCTTTAGCAGTAAGTTGGACATGTCCGATAAAAAGCCACCAAGCGCTAACATAGATACCAGCACGTAATCGTGTCCTTGTCGTCATGGACTGGATCAAGGCCAAGATCTTCGGCCGCGACGTCTCCCGAGAGTAAAGGTTGCGTCCCCTTAGCGACTCTCGTCGAGCCTGTAAATCCTGTCTTACTACGTTCTTTTGACGTTCCGTGAGCGTTGCTTCTGCTTTGGCTTCTCAGTTCGTTTGCTTTCGATTCAGTATGAACAAGGACGAAATTGCTGCATAATAGACTTGATAACCTTTTCTCTTTTTGATCGACGCGATCGGGACCGTGCTGGCCTGGAGCTGGGCGTTTGCATGGGGTTTGTTTTGCTGCACAAGCTTGGAGGGATGCGCTAGGCTATGTACAGTATATGACGAGCATTCAGAAAAATAGAATGGGGTGAATTTGAAAGTGATTATTCATTGGATGATTTTTGCGTGCTTGGGGAAGAGATGCCGAGAACGTCAGTGTTGTTCGAAGAGCGTCTTCCGAACCTGTGACAACTTGGGTGGAAGTTTATTAATCTTGTCGAAGATCGCTCTCCGGTCGCTGCCAGGACATGATCGAAGGTCAATAAATCTAGCCGAGATCGCTCTTCAGTCGCCCTGACAAGACGCAAGAAATCTATTGATCTTCTTTCCGGACCATTCTGCATCCTCGCCTCCCTCTCTGCATGTTTCCTAATCCACTCCAGTAGCTCTCTTCCATCAGTGCGCGATATACAAGGTAGTTCAACACATATATCCGATCATCATTCTTCTGCTGGCATAGCATATGTGTGAAAGTCTTGCAATTTTCGTGAGCAATTCTTCTGCCCTTCAGTCGGTGACTCGGTTGCACGCGCAGAGTCGATGATATTCACGGCAAACACTCGTCTTTCAATTTGCTCATGTTCGATGAGCATGTGTTGTACGTTGCTTGGAGTCTCTTTAATGTGTGTGAATAGACTTAACAAATTTCGCTTTTCTCCTTACACACTCTCAATCCTCGATTTCGACTGCGCTGGATAGCTTCTACTCCGCTGAGACGTTCTCACGTGTCGGAAGCTCTACTAGGTATGCTAGACACACCATATTCAAAAGCTCGATGGACTGTCCTTCCATGCTCGCTACACTATATCTGGAAATGGATGGCTCATTTAATTGCTTCTGGGTTAACGCCTTTCAGGTCGATCTCGGACATTTTGGAATACCATCGTCTCGAAATATCGGGATGCCACGGCGAGCACGAAGCCATAAACAGGGAAACATCCATTCTCTTTGAGAATAAATACCCAATTGGCAAGCGCCATATACACAAAACGTCAACTTCAGTTGCTTTGCTATTTGCGACTCGATGATATTGAGAAGCGATCTGTTGCAAGGCTACCACACACCAGACGCCCCAAATGATATAGAGGCCAGCACTCTCGTATTTATTAAAGGCTTTTGTGCCATTTGCTGACCGCGACAGCACTGTTTGCAAACACTAGTCAACGCCTAGGTTCGGCGTGTACTTCTCCGGTCTGGATTGCAAATGTCTCCAGCACAGCGGGGTAGCTATTGAGGTCGAGCCTCTCCTACAACAATTGGTGGATGGTACCGCGAAGCCGCACTAGGTAAACGAATGTACAGAGGAAGCAGTATAAACAAGACGATGGTAAGGATTGAGGTCGAATGTGCGTGGAATGTAGAGTTGGGCCACGGAAAATTCAGGAGCACGATGGTGAAAATGGCACGGCGGCAATTGGGCCGCTCCATTTAATATTTCCAGCGAAGTTTATCCACCGAGGTTAGACGCATCGTAAACATTTCTCTCCTAGTCTGTTCCCATAATTTTGAAGTCTTTTTCCAATTATTCTCCATAAGTTCTGTGGTAACTCTGAATCCGACAATGGCGAAACTATTCCTCCACGACCACCCCGTCTCCTCCTACGCCCAGAAAGTCCGCATAGCCCTCCGAGAAAAGGGCATCCCATTCGACTACAAGACCCCAGATGGCCTAGGATCCGGATCATATATTGCAGACCTCCATAAAGCAAACCCGCGCCATGAAGTCCCCGCCCTGGTAGATGGAGACTTCACAGTGTGGGACTCGAGTGTCATACTCGGCTACCTGGAGGACAAATTCCCGGAGCACCCTTTACTCCCTGCAGATCCAAAAGGACGAGCGTCGGCCAAGATGATCGAGGAGATCTGCGACACGCAGTACGAGGCGATCAATTGGGGGTACGGCGAGGTGGTGTGGCAGAGCCGTGCTACCGGCGACCTCCAGGAGAAGATGGTCGCTGAAATCAAGCGGCAGACCTCCGTGATGTACTCCTGGCTAGAATCTGAACTAGGAAGCAACGACTACTTCAACGGCAGCACATTCGGCTACGCAGACGTGTGCGTTGCGCCGATGATGAACCGCGGTGTGATCATCGACCTGGGTCCGGCGAAGGGCACGCCGCTGCAGAAGTGGCACGAGAGGATCCAGCAGCACGAGTCAGTACGGAGTGTGTTTGAGGAGGTGGCAGAGGGCGCGAAGAAAATGGCGAAGACGGGGGATTTCTTCCAGAAGGGAGGAAGGGCGAGAGAGTATCGGGATCATAGGTTGGAGTGGATGATTAAGAGTGGTGGGCTGGAGGTTGTGCTGAATGGATTGAAGAATCAGAATATTAGATTTTGTAGGGCGCCGGGCGAATGACTAGATGGTCGGGAACCGTCAAGCCATCTGTAATGAAATATCAAACGTGTAGAATTAAGAAACGACGCTCCAGACTCAAAACGGAGACGAATGTTAACAACTGCGATACGATAACTACCAATGCGAGAAACGTTGATTCATGCAATTTAAAGATTTACGAGGAGACTCGCATACACAGTATAACCACTGCTGTTGTTTGAGCAATTCTTTTAAAGAATCGAGAGATCGTTGAGACGAAAATTTGTGAAAGTTAATATTAAATCGGCTATTTTCGGCTTACGTTTATTCGGGCGATTGGTCTAGCGGTTATGACGTCTCGTTTACATTGCAAGTGAACATAGAAGCCGAGAAGGTCCCGAGTTCGACCCTCGGATTGCCCTGTAAATATTTTTTTTATGGCCCGTTAAGAGGCTCTGGACTTTCCTTTTTGGTGGAGTGGATGGGACGATCGATCTCGCTGGTGGGATGGCGGGGTACCAGTCTCATCTTTTTGAGATCGAATAATGCTGATTGATGCAGGGGTTGGTCAGGTCGTACCTCTCACCATCAGGGCTGGCTTCTCTCGTGAGGTCAATCTGTTTGTTTTGCTCATCGAGGAATATTACAAACATATTTCTTTGTGAATGGGGTTAATTCGAATGTGGCCTTGGTCAAGTGGTGGAGTATAGCGTGGTTGCTCGGTCTGACGATTCCATTCTGTCGTCTCGCCCCTGAAATCACGTTGCCTCTCAATCCATAGGTAGTTCGATCTTGATTAGTATCATCTATCTGCTTGGTCTCGCAAGTTGGTGAGACTGACTGGAGCAATGCATTTTTGAGCCTCCACTCATCGTATAATTCTCAATTTCTTCAGAGGGCAGCAAAAGCACTGCAGTAGCTGACACTGCTATCCCTCACTGACTTCACCAAATCGCTCCGTTCATACCTCAAGAACTTGAACTTCCCCTTCTCCGCAACCTCTCCGTCCTGAGCACCATCCTCTTTCTCTTTCAGCACTTCTAGCGTTGCCAGTACCACTCCAATAGGATGCCGTCCGCACACCGTATTCCCCGTCGCCTCCAGCTGCTCCCAGAACTTCGCGTGGCTCCCACTCTCAACCGCATCCATACTAGCCTGGTCGACAATCGCTATGCTCTCGTGTATTGGTCGAGTAGAAGGGATAACATCTCCCGATCGCACAGAGTACGCCGATCCGCTCTTCGGCTGGTAGTATGTATAGCGGAAGCGGGAGCCCCAGTGACAGAAGTCGGAGCTCACGACGAAGACGGAGGTTGGGTCGGCAAGGTACGGTGCGAGGATATCTGCGTAGCGGCGTTCTGCAGTGGTACTGGTGCTGCCGACGAGGATGGGGATCAGAGGCGGGAAGGTTGCCGGACTGGAGAATGTCCTATGGAGTATGAGTAGATAGAGAGATAGGGAAGGATGGTGATCTAGCATACTTTGAAAGGACTTTGTAGATGTATGGGAGGTGCATCTCCATGCTGTGCTCTGCTTCGTCGACGGATAGGGCCATCTTGTCGAACTGCTTTGTGGCTTGCAGCTCCGCGATGGTGTCCTTATCGAGGCGCAGATTACCGAGCGGTGTCTCGTAATAGTCGCATTGTGACAGTGCGCAACCGCTCAGGTAGTGGTGATGTGAAGGTCCAAGGAGGAAGACTTGTTTGCTGTATCCGTGAGCTTCCCAACCTCGTGCTCGAACCAGGCCCTCTCTTACCAGCTGGAGAGATCGAGAGACTTGTAAGCCCATGCTGCTGCAGGACCAGAGTATGCGTATCCGGCATGCCTGCACACATAACATGAGCACTCTCTCCATCGTTTCGTACGAGATAAATTCTCAATATCCTACGGCGCGATGATGATCCTTGCTCTGGTTGAGGGCAGGGGCACAGTGTCATGCTTCGACGATTCGGACCCAATGCATTTCGCTGCTGAAGGCACTTGATCTAACCAGCCGTCCAGCTGGCCGCTGAGCTTCTTGCCATCATCAGCATACCACGAGCCCGCGTGGCTAGCTTCTCTGGTAGTCATGCTTCGGTTGAGGAGTTTGGAGATGAGTTTGGGAGGCTTCAGCTTGAATTATGATGGGCTTGGTGAAGTTGTTAGGCTCAAAGTTGTGAGAGAGCCAGTCCGATTTGAGAAAATCGAAAAGGATTATTGCCTGAGTAGATGGGCAGTTCATGCGAGGACGTGCAAGCGTCGCACTGGTTGATGATAGCTGTCATGGATAGTGGGGTCTCACTCAGGAACAGCAGCGGCTGCCCCACATCGCGTGCATGCCGCGCTTCCACTTCGCGGATGGCTGGGACGCGTCTCCGACTTACGCTAGGCTCTGACCGCCTCTACCATTCGCTCTCCCACTTCACACCGTCTTCACTGCTTCTTGCTATAGCAACCCAATTATTCCAAGTATTGTATACTATCCACAATGGGTCTGAAACGCAAGCGCTCCGACGTCAACATCTCGCCAGAGTCGATCTCCAGCTTCGCGTCATCCCGCATATCAGTTAGCCCAACCCCCGGCGGCAACGATGAGATGGCCATTGACGTCCCAGTAAAGGCCCAGCCGCACTCTACTTGGGAGTGGGAGAGGAGATCTGCATCGCCGTGGGAGGTAAACAGCCGTACGAGGAAAAGATTTCGAGATAATCGACCAGACGAGACGACTCTGCACGGTATGCTCGACCAGCCCTGTTATACTACAACAGCCTCTAAAATCACAATGATCCCATGCTAAGATAGATTGCAGAGAATACAATCAACAAGCTCTTCTCCGCCCAACGCGAAAACCCCCGCGCCTCCCCCGTACCCTCTCACTCTTCCGACATCTCCACTTCCTCTATCAACCAGAAATCCACGCTCCATTCCTTCTGGTCTCTCCCCCAACCACCCCGCGTATCACCATCCGCCGCGCCGCACTCCACAGGCTTTGACAACCCGAACCTCCCGCGCTGCGAGGACTGCGAGGCGGCTCTAGGTTCGTCGGACGGCATGGACGTCGACATGATGGACACAGATGACGGTGTCGATGAGCACCAGTGCCAGGTGTGTGGGCGCAGGGTGTGCGACGGGTGCGCGGTGTCGATGGAGCTAAGGAGGTGCTTGGGATGTGCTTGCTTGTGAGAGTTCTCCGTGCTGTCTTTTGGGACACGAGGAGTTCTATTGGCGTTGTGTATATGTTATGTTGACGAATGCTTCCAATCAGAGTCGATTTCATGAAATGGGCGCCTAATCAGTGAGCAGGATGGCGGACGAACGGTTTGGCAATGAATTGCTTGGCAGCGTCTTCGGAAACAGAAATGGGACAGGCGATATGGAAAAGTTGGACTGGGTTGGGTACACGACTTGAGAGTTTGTGACAGTTCTATTATTACGAATCGAACGTACTGCTGTAAATCACTTGAGTACGCTCACTTTTGCCGTCTCTTTTTCAGGTGAAGAGTTCCTATCTTTATTGGGTTCACTATCGTCGTGGTAGCCCCAGCCAACGTCTCAGGTGGCAGGTGGGCGATCAGGTTGAATGGGTACAGAGGAAATAAGTTTTGCTCTTCAGCGCAAGTGAGAGCGTTTCTGAAGGCTGGGTGATGTATGCTTCGGAGCGGTTTTCACCACTTTGCGAGACATTGATTGCAGCGCTTTAAGGTGAGCTACGCCCGCTCTTCAACGCCAGCGAGAGCATCTCAGAAAGTTTGACTTAACATGCTTTAGACAAAATTTGCTAACAACGCACAATCTTAACACATGATCTGTGCGAAAGGAAAAGGGTATGCATCTTGACATCTCGCCACATTCAATCTCTCATTGAACTATCAAGCTGTTCTATGCGAATATGTATACCTTATCTTCGAACCTCCAGTCCCGAAATCCATCCCAGTTCAGGGACCAAGCCAAAGACACTTTCTTAGTTACCAGCTTGCGTATAGCAACCGAGCTTTAGTTTAGAAGCAAGTTTGAATCATGATATTGGAGCTAGTCCGTTGCGGCTCCTCAGTGATAGCGTTAGAGAAGATAACGAAGAGAAATTAGGACTTTAAAGGGAGTATAGAGAATAACTTCGTCGTTATTTATCTAGCGAAAGCTAGCTTAATAGTTTTCTCTATTTGAGAATTCTCTACTTGGATAATCACGTCTATTCTCTACGGCCTTTACTGCTCCTCCTCCAGCAGTCCTTCGAACATCTCAACACCCCACGCATCCTCAAATGCCTCCTTGTTCGCGTTCTCCTTGGTCTCTTCCTTCTTCTTCAGGTCAGCCAATCCGACGGCAATATTCGCCTTGATCTTTGCGACTCGCTCCCTGATGGATAGAACACGATCCGGGTGATTCTCGTACTCGTCGATCGACACCTCTCTTCCGCTTCGAGAGTAGACGCGGCCACCAGTCTCGCGGAGTTCTTGTGGATCGGGCCAGTCGCAGAGCCTGTGGATCACCTGCTCTGGCTGCACCTCGCTGATTTGGCGATTCAGAGTAGCAGGACCAGCTTGCGTCGGTGGGGCGGAATCTTGGGGGCGGCGGCGGCGGCGACGACGGCCGCGACGTGGCTCGGGATCGGTTGGCGTGGGAGTGGTTGGGGCAGCAGCCTGCGAGGCATGCTGGTGCTGCAAGTACTCGGCCGGGATGGGGGGAACTGGTGGGATTACCGAATTACCTTCTGTTGCGTAAAAGCAATTCAAAGAATGAGGGAGTGAAACATACCATAAGCTTCTTCGGCAGGTGTGCCTGCTCGGGAAGCCACGACAGTGTCCGCGGAGGAGCTGCGGGAAGAGCCAATAAGGGTGTCCGAAGAACGGCGGGAAGATTGGGAAGGCGTCTTTGAGCGCGTCATTGTTATTGGTGGATTGGTCGTGTTATTGTTAAACAAGAGTGAAGAGTGAAGTCAAGTATGGAACCGTAACCGGAACACCTCGCTGAATGTTGTCAAATGTGGAAGAAAGAGTGCACGAGCGAAGCTTGTGAGGGAGTTGGTGTGGGTTGAAAGAAGGAGGGAGGTTGCGTGAAGAACGAAAGTCGCTTTTATATTGCGTTCACGTCATGCCTTGAAAAGCCTTGGCGGCCGTGGTGTTGGTGTTGTGACAACACCGCGCGTAGGCGTGAAGATGTGAAGATACGCGATATGGGAAGGCGCAATTTCGTTTACAGACGGCTTTTATCGGCAACACAAAAGCCAATTTGCTGCCCGCCGAGTGCTAGTGCAAGATCTGTCCAGCACAGGCATGATATAATCATACCAGAATGCAATGGTTCACCTAGATATTTTGGTAGATTGTGGAGAAGGTACTTCCAGCGGCAGAAGCTTCATGTTCGTACTCTAAATTTTTAAAATCTAGTGAATGGCAGCCTAGAAATTTATCAGCTTTCAATTCCTTCTGTGTTTCATGTGCAT